TAGCAAACAGATCTAGAAATATACCAAATCTTAACATGGAATACCACATGTTGTATGTGGATAGTATAAAAAGTTTCAAGGTCATAAGAGAAAAAAACTTATTTATTTACCGAGTGCCAAAAAACACTCCGCGAAATTATTTCTTTGCCGAGTGCTAAAGAAAAACACTCGGCAACCTTACTTCTTTGCCGAGTGCCACTAACGGACACTCGGCAAACTCCTAACGGCCGGCACACTAACTGACGGATGTCCACGTGGCGGTTTTTTTGCCGAGTGCCTCTTTTTTGCCGAGTGTTTTTTATTAGGTTGCCGAGTGTATTTTTTGTAGCACTCGGCAAAGAGCTTGTTTGCCGAGTGCTTGATAAAATGCACTCGGCAAACCTGGAACCAAGCACACCCCAAGTCACTTGCAATGGCAACATTAGAGGACATCTATTGTCTTACACAACCATTATCCGTACGTTTGTCCTCAGCATTTGGATTGGCAGCCCCAACTTGAAAGTTTTTATGCATGCCATCTCATCAACATTATATCTCGTAGGTAGTTGTTGCCCAGGTGACTTTGCTCACCGCTGCCGCCGCAGTCTAGGGCCCTCTCTATTTTCCTCTCCAGTGAATATGCCACTGACAAGAAGGAGAAAGAGGACACATCTCTTTTATATCAGTTTTTTTAATCTAGTTTGTTTAGGGTTTAGATGATTTTTGGTAGGGATATTGTTTCCTGCGATGACTTTGATTCGTTATAGACGTTGATTTCATCGGCAAATGACCAATTATGGCCATTATCTGAGGGGTGACACTCCATGAGGGGGTAGTAACTCTACAGAGAGGAAAGCAAGGATACATGACGAATCAAAGATTTGTGTGATAAATCTGCCACCTATGTTGTACTCGTGATGCAATTATCGTTGTTCTTTCATCATTTTCAGATCTATTTTAGGGTTACTTGAGAACGTTGGATCTGTATGGCATGTCCAACATTTTGAGGTTTAACGTTAGATTCTGTACTTTAATTTCGACGTTCAACGAGGCCATATGGTGTGCATCGAGGATAAGATCCGTCCCCTATGAAGAATATTTGGTCAAAACAGAGATATCCCCTTTCTTCATCTGTCCGTCACGCTGCAGTAGTAGGCTGCAGCAACTTGTTTTGGAGCCGAACATCTCCAAATTAAAGAAGTGGAAGAGGACGGAAAAATAAAGGGGAAAAAGAAAAGGAAAAGGAAAAAGAGTATTATATATGGTCATGTTTTCATCAACTATAAGAAAATGTTTTAGCAAACGTTAATGGGAACTGATAACCACGGAGCTGTGTCGAGAATTTGAGAGGCGGAGAAGACAGCGGCGTGCGAGCAATTCCAGGCTCCGGAGTAGTGAGTAGCTAGCAGCAAGCCAGCAACGGCCAACGGGGCATGATTGACCGGCCGGACGACCCGCGGGCCCGGACCTGGACCCGACAAGCCTGTCGACGCGGCCCCCCACCCCCCCCATGGCCACATGCGCGGCCCGCTCGCACTCCCCTCCCTGGCCCCACGTGTCGGTTCCCGGGGACGACGAGTAGCCCAGGGACCCCAGCTGCTGCTGCACGCAGTGCTCTGCTCCCACCGTTGCCGTCGCGTCACCGAAGCCCTGGGCCGTGGGGGACGACAGCTGTGCGTTCCAGGCTCGTGCCGGCGCGTGTCCGCCGGCTCCGACGTGGCCGGGCTACGGTTCACAACCTCGGACGGGCCCGGTGGCCGGCTTTGCCACTCGCTTTGCCGGCCACTAGCTAGGCAGAGGCAGTGCGCGTACGAGTCTTCCGCCGTATTCTATTCGTGTGAGCGATCTGAACGGGTTTCAAATAAAGCATGCAGCCAATGCAAGATGGAGTAGTGGAGGTTTCGTTCCGACCTCCGGCTGCCGCGCTCGCCGCCGGTGCCGACGACAACGACGGTGGCCGCGGCCGCATGCATGCATGGTCTGAATCGTCTGATGGATCCACCCGGTGCGGCTTGTTTTTTTTTTTTTTTTTGAGGGGAGACCCGGTGCGCTAGGTGTAGCTGCTGGTGCCGGAGGCAGCGAGAGACGAATCTGCGTGCATGTGCCTGCTGCCAACGCATGCATGGCGCAAACAAACGTCTCTGCATGAACGTCTCCCGATGCGACGACAGTCCATCCTAGCTACGACGTACGTTCGCGCTCGCAGCTAGCATCACCAGCCTAGCTATACCTATCTAGAAACACAAAGGATCGGAGTACACACTACACACGCACATGGATGCAGTTTGAAACCCAGAGGGGGGCCGGGGAAGCGGTACACGTCCACATCGATCACAGCATCGATCGTCTATGCGCCCACATCGATCACAGCATCGATCGTCTATGCGCCCACCGTGTTGCATGCATTATTGCCTGTCAACGTCTACCCGCACTACTGGAGACGGCCTCTTTGCCGAGGGCCTGACCCATTAATCCTCGGTAAAGGCTTTGCCGAGGGCGGCCCTCGGCAAAGAGCTCTCGAGGAATTTTGAGTCGGCGAAGAGGGTCTTTGCCGAGGGCTGAAGCGGCACTTGGCAAAGAAAAGCAGCCGTCACGGCGCCGGCGCCTGAGATGGAGTCTTTGCCGAGGGCCGTCTCCGGGGGCCCTCGGCAAAGAATTATTCTTTTTTTTGAAAAATCTTTGCCGAGGGCCTCCAACCATGGCCCTCGGCAAAGAAATGTTGCAGAACTTTTCCAAAAAATCTTTGCCGAGAGCAATGGGACGGCCCTCGGCAAAGAATTATTCTTTTTTTTAAAAAAAAAAATCTTTGCCGAGGGCCTCCAACCATGGCCCTCGGCAAATAAATGTTGCAGAATTTTTTCAAAAAATCTTTGCCGAGGGCAATGGGACGGCCCACGGCAAAGAATTGTTCTTTTTTTTTGAAAAATCTTTGCCGAGGGCTTCCCCGCAGGCCCTCGGCAAAGAAATTTTAATTTTTTTTAAAAAAATCTTTGCCGAGGGCCTTCAACCATGGTCCTCGGCAAAGAAATGTTCCAGAATATTTGCAATGAATCTTTGCCGAGGGCAATGGGACGACCCTCGGTAAAGGACACTTCTTTGCTGAGGGCCTTGGTCATTGCCCTCGGCAAAGAGGTAGAAATTTAATTTTTTTTTTTGCATTCTATCGACACAAGCATTTCATATATATATCAACCATCACATATATATATCACACAGAACTCATTTTCTCACAATATATCACAACCATAATTGTGAACCACAAATCACAATATATTACAACGACAAGTCACATGTTCATCATCATTCACATGTTTATTACAATAAGTTCATGAAATCCAAGCACAAGTCAGAACCATAAACCACAAATATTATAATAAAGTCTAACCACATCACGTAGCACTAGTCCTCATCAAGGTAGCCTATGAGACGGTGGTGAAGGAAAGGCGGGATCACCCGGTAACGCACTACCGGGATGATTGAAACCCATGGATGGAGGCTGCACAAAGGAGCAGAGATTGCATGTATGAATAATCTGAAAAAAATAGTTTTGAAACTTAGAGATTGCATAATCAAGACGCTGCATTCTCCGGAGCTGCGGTGCTGGCTCTCCTGTCCTGTGTCAGGTGGTCGCCGACACGCCTTAGAGAGCCCGGGCAGGTGCCCAGGGTCGCCGGGCCCTGGGTCCTATGCAGATTACCATGGAAGTATGAAACTGTAGCTTTTACCTTTCCTCAAAAACTGCAGCTTATACCAGTTGCTGGTTGTTTTTCGTTGAAGTGGGACCCTGAACATTGCATGACAGAAGTGTAGTCATGACGCATACCAACTGAAAATGAAAGGGAATTTTCTCTAATGTCATTCGTTAAAACTTGTATCTTTCATCTGTCACTAAAAAACTCAAATTTTATCGATGCCACTACATATAAATTTCAATCTCTTTCACGCCGTTACTGATCATATTCTGATAGTCTTAGCCAATAGACATCGAAAAAGCCAAATTACCCTTCTTCTCAAGACACAAATTTAGTTGTTTTCTTTTATGCTATCTTTTGTGGCTAAACAACTTAATCGAAAACTCAAATGTATCATTTCGAAAATTTAAAAGTATAAAAGCTATGATGTCCGATACCAGAAAAAGCTATGATGTAGTTATTTTTTGAAATAAAAAAAGAGAGTTAAAGGACTGAATATGTGCTTTTTGCAGTGGTCAATATTTGTAGTAAATGTGAATAAAACAATAACAGCTCAAGCAACAGTATTCTACCAAGTAAATACAGCTAAAACTTGCTAGTATGGAAGGTAGCTCAGCTTACAGAATTTTGGAGGACGTCTCTGTTCTCCTTGAGTCAATTGATGTCCTGTGCCAGAGGCGTAGTAGTCGTACAACAGCTTCAGCAGATTCTCCTTAGCAAGCTAGTCACATTTGCGACCAGATCCATCTGTGGTGTCTAAAAAGAGCGTGCATCTAGCAGCAGAGAGCTCCCGCCTGCAAGGGTCTCTGGGGAAGGGTGGGCCTGGTGCAAGCGGTAGAGTCTTACCGCTGTGACCGGAAGATCTCGGGTCGAGTCATGGGTCCTCGCATTGCACAAAGCGAGGTAAGGCTAATTTTCAGTTATTTCCTAGTTAATCAAACAGTAAACCGATTTTTATATATGTCAATAGCATGTATTCTCAATTCCAATTTCCATCAACAGACTGATATATGTTGAGACGGCCGGATATTTTGGAACAGGTAAATCAAGAAAGATTAAAAAACACACAGATACAAGTAGTGAGAAAAAAACTGCAGAATGGTTCAAGAAACCAGAATATTTGGTGATAGCATTATTTTGAGGCATTACGCATGAATAAACATTGTAAGGAAACACATCAATCGAAGTGATTACGACTACGCCAAGACGGAAAATGATAGCCCTTGTACAGGATTGCTGGTAAGAAGACGCACACATGGGCAGGAACCAGGCAAGCTGAGTCCAAGGAAATGATATTTAACTTTTTTACAAGAGGATCAACAGGAGCACTCACAGGGCACGACTGGTCAAGGCTACATGATAGTGGTGGACGGGAGTGAGGGATGGTGGAGCTGATTGCAATATTGATGGCCCATGGCTGTGAGGGACCGAGGCGGTGGTGGCAGACCAGAGCAGCGGCGTCTGTTCAGGAAGGCGGATAATGGTCGAGATAATTTTTGGATCAAGAGCTACATTCTTGGCTCTCATTTCATGTATCAATTTCAGAACCTTGTTTATCTGGCCTTCAGCACTATAGCCTTTGATCAGTGAATCAAATACAGCAACATCAGGCACAAAGCCACTTGCAGTCATCTGTTTAAGCACCCTCTCAGCTTCTTCTAGGTCTCCTAATTTTGCATACATGTTGATTAGCATTGAATATGTCACGGCATCAGGAGCCAGACCCTCAACAAGCATATCCTTAATCAACTGTTTAACCATTTTCGTATCCCCTGATTTGCAAGCGCCATGGATCATTGTGCTATATGCGACAGCATCGAGCCCGCAGTTCTTATCCATTTCATTGAACAGAACCATAGCTTCACTACTGGAAACAGAGACTTTGCCGAGTGTAAATTTCTTTGCCGAGTGTCAAAAATCGGACACTCGGCAAAGATCTTCTTTGCCGAGTGCTGCACTCGGCAAAGAATTACACTCGGCAAAGATTTCTTTGCCGAGCGCCGGGCACTCGGCAAAGGACTTCTTTGCCGAGCGCCAAACTCTCGGCAAAATCTATACACTCGGCATAGGCTGCCCGTGAAACGGCGCCCGTGCCACGTCCTTCTTTGCCGAGCGCCGCGGTTAGGCAGGCACTCGGCAAAGATTTTTTTTTTTTTTTTTGAGTGCCCCGGATCCGGCGCTTCGGCAAAGATTTTTTTTTTTTTCTTTTTGCGGCGTCTCGGATCTGGCGCCGGCAAAAAAAAATTTTTTTTAAAATACTTTGCGAGTGCTCCTGGCGGCACTCGGCAAAGATTTAAAATTTTTTAATTATTTCTTTCTTTGCGAGTGCTCACATGTATGCACTTTCGGCAAGAGGAAAATTTAAAAAAATTAAAACATTCTTCTTAGAGTGCTGAAGGTGGCACTTTCAAAGAAGACCCTTTTTAAAGAGTGCCATGCCCAAGACTTTCGGCAAAGTTTATTTTTTGTTTTTAGCCTCAATTTTTTTGTGCAGACTTTTTAAAACACAGAACTCCTAGTTACAATTTGAAGATTTTTTGTGGCTTTTGTTATATTTAGTTACTTTATTTCGTTTACTTGAATTTTTACGGAAATTAGAAATTTGAAATCTTCGCGTGAATTTTTATCATAGCCTCCATGATATGATATCATAGTCATTAGTCTCAACAAGTTTCATGATTTTTGGACATCGCTTGCATTTTATAGAATTTATAAACACTTCACACGCAATTTCATGACATGTTTCGTGAACGTTGAGATATCCAAATATTTGGGTCCGCTCTATGATACGGCCTCTCATAACACACACGTAACATGACTATCAATTTTCAAATCATTAAACTCCATTATTCGTACTATCGCAGCGCTCAAATTTCTAATTTCCGTAAAAATTCAAGTAAACGTAAATAAAGTAACTAAATATAACAAAAAGCCACAAAAAAATCTTCAAATTGTAACTAGGAGTTCCCGGTGCTTTAAAAGGTCACACAAAAAAATTGAGGCCAAAACAAAAAAACAAAAAACTTTGCCGAAAGTGCCGGCATGGCATGGCACTTAAGAAGTTTTTGCCGAGTGCCACCTCGTGCACTTAAAAAAATGTTTTAATTTTTTTAATTTTTTTCTTGCCGAAAAGCGCATACAGTGAGCACTCTCAAAAGAAATAATTAAAAAAAAAAAATCTTTGCCGAGTGCCGCCCAGGAGCACTCGCAAAGTATTTTTAAAATAAAAAATTTTTTTGTCGAGCGCCAGATCCGAGACGCCGCAAAGAATTTAAAAAATAGGGAAACTTTGCCGAAAAGCCGATCCGGGGCACTCGCAAAGAAATTAAAATAAAAATCTTGCCGAAAGTGCCTCCCGATCCCAAGACTCACTGCGCAAAGCCATGGACACCTGGCTTTGACCCACCGCAACATCGCCAGCAAATCACTTACCCGCCGCCCTGCCACCACACACACACCACCACCACCACTGCCTACCCATTCACACCACATCACACACATCACACACACCATACCATACTATCCCATACCACACACACATACATACATCGCCGCACACACATACTACAAGCCATTGCATGCACACACCACCGCACACACGCACATACCATTTGCCGCGCACGCATCACCGCCCGCGTTGCCGCCCGCCCATGGTCACACCACGCCAGCCGCCATGCCCTCGGCACACGTCTCCATACGGCCAGCTTCCATTTCGCCACTACCCTCGCCACACAGGCCTTGCCACTGGGCATTGCCCTTGCCCGTAACCCTTCCCCCCAAGGCCCGACCCCCAGCCGCCTGCGCCCCGGCCTGCCAGCCTTTTTCCGCCTTGTTCTCGCCTCTGCCGCCACTGTGGACCACCCGCCCGACGCCATCCGTGTTTCGACCCCATCCCCGACTCACCGATCCCGACGCCACCCGCCTCTACCCCTGTCGCCCATCGTGTATGCCTTCTCACTTATTATTGTGGAGGTAGTGGTAGTTGTAGTAGTATTAGTTGTACTAGTGGCGATATTAGTACAACTAGTGGTAGTATTAGTAGTAGAATTAGTGGTAGTAGTAGTAGTAGAAGTAGTGGTAGTAGTAGTACAAGTAGAGGTACTACTTGGATATATTCTTCTACATGGATTGATATCCAAACTACATGGCTTCATTGAGCCATATGTGCTTGTCGGCCATCGTGCCGTTGTTTTTTGCAGTTTTTGGAAACCTCACCGTGCGGGGGAGGTTCTCACCGATTTTTTTGTAAATAACAGATTTTTGTTCCATTTTGTAGAGAAGAGCCCGTCGAGTTGAGTCGGAGTTCTCGCCACCGTGTCGGTCTCGCTTCACACCAAGTCGTCTCGCCATCGCACCGACCCGCCACGGCCCCGCTTAGCCCCGACTCCATCGCCACCCTAGGTATAACCCCTCTTTTATATCATTGTCGAGATCACAGTAACCCAGCTTAGGCGTCTCCCGTTCGAAAGAGATACGGTTGGAGGTATGCGATCTTTGCATATCTATGACCGTATCTATTTCGGATTGTCCACGCTTTTGGACAGCCATGGATGCGTAGATGGGTTAGTTTCCATGTTCTGCTTAGTCCGAGACAGACTTTCGGCATCACCTCCCTGTTGTTCTCCTGATACACACTCTTCTTTGGTAGGACGTGTATCCGGAGAACAATGGGAGGTGTCACCAAATTTCGCCTCTGGATAGGAGTAGAGCATGGAAACTAACCTCATCTACACATCTCATGGGTGGGATTAGGACCTATCCTCACCTATTAGACAAGAGGAACACCATGTACATGCAATTAATGGTTACATTACTCACCGATACATATGTTAGAGGATGGATGACCGTCGCGGATGTACACGGGCCGGAGAAGTCGAGTGATTACACCACGGAATGGATGAACAAGACCGATGCTTTCTTGAATAAAGGCATTTGGCAACGCTGCTAAAGGACATTGCCTAGTTTTGTGTCCCCGCAAAGAAATGTGGAAACAGGAGAAGGGTAAACAAGGTGAAAATGGGTAAACATCTTGTGAAGAATGGATTTACGCCGACTACACCCGTGGGTCCACCATGGTGAAGCCCATCGTATGAGAGAGGAGGTGGTGAGACCACGGGTGGAGGCTTTTGATGTCGATGCCGGGTAGCGTATATGTTAGATGACTTTCACCAAGGACAGTTCGATGAGGGATGTGAGAAGGAGGAGATGGAAGCAAACGCACAGCATTCTACGATATGATGGACTCGCACGTAAAACCCTTCACGATCGGTCAACGGTGTCTCAACCGGATGCCATTGGACGCTTAATGGGGTTGAAGTCCGAGTTAAACTTAAGTCGACCTGGCTTCGATAAGATGTTGGCCGTGATTGGCACCTTGCTTCCGGAGGGCCACATTCTCGCCAAGAGCATGTACGAGTCACGTAAACTCCTTCGAGCACTTAAGATGCCGTATGAGCGGATACATGCTTGTCCGAAAGGGTGTCTCCTATTTAGGAAAGAACACGAGCATGCAAAGTTCTCGTCCAGTGTAAATCCTCCGTGTACCGGAGGTAGACTCGATGATGGCCAAAGAGGCAACTTACGATCCCCATGAAAATCCTACTGGTACCTTCCGTTCCTACCGAGGATTCAACGGCTATACATGACCGAGGAATCCGCGAAATGATGACATGGCACAAAAATGGGCAAACGGTACAATCCTCGACAAGATGGTACATCCATCCGATGGTGAAGCTTGGATCCGCTTTAATGACAAACATCGTGACAAAGCGTATGAGGCTCAGAATGTACGTGTCGCGCTGGCAACAGATGGGTTCAATCTTTATGGAATGATGGCTGCCCCATACACATGTTGGCCCGCCTTTGTTATCCCCTTAATCTTCCCCCGGTGTCTCCTTTCAACGACATAACGTATTCTTGTCGTTGATAATTCCCGACACCCGTGGAGTAATATGGGTGTGTTCATGGAGCCCAGATTTGATGAATTGGTCCGTGCTTGGGACGAAGGGGTATGGACATACGATCGAGCTACAAAGACAACCTTCAAAATGCACGCTTGGTACCACTACTCCCCGCATGACTTCTGGCGCGATGGGATATTCTCATACCGTGTGTTCACGGAAAGTTCCCATGCCCAATATGCAAGGAAGGTGTGAGGTTTATTTGGTTGCGTAAGGGTGGCAAGTATTCGCTGCTTGATAGACATCGTCAATTCCTACCTCTTGACCATCCATTCGCACAAGACATCAAGAACTTTACGAAAGGCGCCAAAGTGACAAACCCCGCACCATGGATGATGAATGGTGCCGAGGTTCATGCTCGATAGGTGCTCTCGTGCCCAATGAAGAAGGTGGTTTTGTGGGATATGGTGAGCAAAGATATGTGGACTCATATCTCGGCATGACGAGGCTCCCTATTTCGATGACCTTCTTCTACCACATAACATTGATGTAATGCACACCAAAAAGAATGTCGCCGAGGCACTTTGGGCAACACTCATGGACACCGAAAAGTCTAAGGACAACCCAAAGGCTAGAGTAGACCGCAACGCAGCGAGTGCGATAGACCAAATCAAGAGATGCAACCTCCTAGTCGTGGCAAGACTTGGAGAAGGCCTAAGGCTGATTTTGTCTTGAAAAAGGACCAAAGGAGGGAAGTACTTGAATGGATCAAGAAGCTAATGTTCCCTGATGGGTATGCAGCGAATCTAAAGAGGGGAGTTAACTTAGGCACTCTGCGAGTCAACGGGATGAAGAGTCATG